TAACAGTGTTTTTTGTTGATTGGGGTTTTCTGTGACACTATAATATTATCTGCATATGTTGATAATTTAATCATCTCTTTATGGTTCTAGATGCCTTTTATTTCCTTCTCTTGTCCTACTGTGCTAGCAAGGACTTCCAAAACAATTTTGAATAGAAGTAGTGACAGTGGGTATATCCTTATCTGGCCCCTCTTGCAAGCAAAATGTTTCTTGTCTTTCTCCATTGAGAATGATGTTGCTTTTGGTTTTTGTACATATACTTTTCACTATATGTTGAAGAAATTCCCTTCTATTTCACTTTTTCTTAGTGTCTTAATCAGGAAGGTGTTGGATTTTGTCAAGTGCCTTTTGTGCCTCAATTGCTAAGATCTTATGGTTCTTGTTATTTTCTTTGTTAACGTGGTGAACTATGTTGATTGTTTTCTTCTGTTGAAACATCCTTGCATATATGTTATGAATCCCACTTGGTCATAAGGAATTATCTTTCTGATGTGATTTTGGATACTATCTGCTATGGTTTTGTTAAATAATTTTACATCTATATTCATGAGAGATAATTGGTCTACAGTTTTCTTTCTTGGTAATATCTTTACCTGGTTTTAGTAGTAGGGTCATGTTTACTTTATAGAATGACTCTGGGAGTGTTCCTTCTTTTGCTATTTTTAAAAATTCTGTAAGGAGAATAGGTGATAAATTTGTAAATGTTTGGTAGAATCTAGCTGTGAAGCCATTTGGTCCAGGACTTTTCTTATTGTAAAATTGTTGTATGACCTGTTCAATTTCTTCTTTGTGCTGGGTTTGTTCAAGTGTTCTACATCTGTCTTTGACAATCTGGGTAGGGCATGAGTTTCAAGGAATTTGTCCATTTCCTCTAGGTATTTTAATTTATCATAGTATAACTTTTAATAATATTCCTTTATTATTAATTTAATTTCATCTTATTCTGTTGTGATGTCACCTCTATCATTTTTTTTTTAATGTGTGTACCATCAAATCGGATCTGACTGATACAGGAGGCGATTGATTGTTCCTCCTTCTTCAGCAGAGCATCTGCTGGATTTGAAGCGCGTACCTCTGGGATTGCAGTGCAGTTTCTTACCACTAGGCCACCAGAGCTTGTCACCTCTATCATTTTTTTTTTCCCTGGGGGCCATCAAAACCTCTATCATTTTTTAATCACTTTATCTGTCTTCCCTTTTTTTCCCCTTTTGTTAACTTTGCCAGCAGTTTGTCAATTTTACTGACCCTTTTGGAAAACCAGTTCTTCATTTTATTGATGGTTTCAATTGTTTTCTGTTTTCCATTTCATTGATATCATCTCTTGTTCTTATAATTTCCTTTCTTCACTAGTCATTAGGTTTAGATTGGGTCTTTGTTCTATTTTCTGAAGATGTAGCGTTAGATCTTCTTTCTTCTGGTTTTCTTCTTTCTTCCTTGTGTGTGTGTGTGTGTGTGTGTGTGTGTGTGTGCGCCTATTGCTATGAACTGCTCCGTGAGGACTACCATAGCTGTATCTCAGAGGTTTTGATAAGTTGTATTTTCGTTTTCCTTTGTTTCAAAGAACTTTTTTTTATCCCATTTTTTATTTATTCTATAACTCAGTCGTTTTCTAGCACAGAGTTATTCCGTTTCCACATGGCTGGGTTTGCAAGATTTACCTTCCTGTGGTTAATTTCTTGTTTTATGGCATTGGGTTTGAAAAGATACTTGTATTAATTCAATATTTTTCAATTGTTGAGACTTGTTTTGTTTTCTAATGTATGATTGATTCAGGAGAATGTAACTTGTGCACTTGAGAAGAAAGTGAATTGAGTTTTAATTGAGAGCTGTACCATAAATACATCTACAAGGTCAATGTGGTTGATTGTATAGTTTAAATTTTCTGCATTATTGTTGAGTTTCTTTTGAGTTTACCTATCCTTTGGTGATAGTGGTGTGCTGAAGTCTATTAGCACTATTGTGGTGTTATTTCTTTCTTCCATTCTATTAACCATTGTTTTATATATTTTCTAGGTATAATTTGGTGCATAAATGTTGAACAATGTTATGTCTTCTTAATCTTTGCTTGTGCTTTTAATCTGTATGTACTACCATTCCTTGTATTTTATAGTGGTTTTCATTCTGAAATATATTTTATCAGAGATTAGTATTGCCACTCCTGTTCTTTTGTGCTTGTCATTTGCTTGGTTTTTTTTTCAGCCCTTGATTTTGAGGTCATATTTCTATTTTTTTAGATGTATCTATTGTAGGCAACATATTGATGGGCTTTATTTTTTTTTACCCATTCTGCTCCTCTTTTTCTCTAGATTTGCATATTTAGTCCATTCACACTAAGTATGATTATTGTCAGACCAGATTTTACATTTTTCATTTTGCTGTGCTTCTTTTTCTTTTGTTTGTGCTTATTATGTTCTATCTACTTTCATTTGGTGTCTGTGTATGAAGGACTACACTCAAAATTTCTTGTATTTTGATTTTGTTTTTACAAATCCCTTAAGTTCCTTCTTTTTTTTTTTCTGCAAAGCTCTAATTTTTCCGTCATAATTGATGGAGAGCTTTGCTGGGTATAGCATCCTAGGCTGACAATTGTTTTCTTTCAACTTTCTTTATATGTCATCCCATTGTCTTCTAGCTCACATGGTTTCTGCTGAGTCGACGATAACTTAATCTAATTGTTTCCCCTTTGTAGGTGTCTCTATGGTTTCCTTGCACTGCTTTTAGTATTCTATCATTACCTTTGAATTTGGAGGATTTGACTAGGGTATGTCTTGATGTTTTTCTCTTTGAGTCTAGTCTATTTGGTGTTTGCTGTGTTTCTTTGATGTAGATTTCTTTAGTCTTCAAAGTACCAGAGACATTTTCTTCTAGTATTCCTTCCACAATTTTCTCAGTGATTTCCTTATAATTCCTATGTTCTGGAATTCCATTCACACTTAATGTTGTTCCCTTTGATGTTATCTCACATGATTCTAATATTTCCTTTATGTCTCTTTTCTGATTTTCTTCTAGTATGTTTCCATTGAAACTCTTGTCTCAATGTTCCATCTCTTCAGATCTATTTCTTCCCCTCCCACCCCCCAACCAGCATGTTGGACACTACTGCTGTTTCAGTCTTAGTATTCTGGATTTTGTTTTCATGATTTTCTTATATTGCCAGTACAATGTTGGCTATACCCTCTCTATCTTTTGATGATTTTTAAGGTTTCTTTAACTATACTATCAATTTTTTTGTACATTTTTTACATTTTTTTTCTGTAGCTGTTCAACTTGTTCAAATTATATGTATTTTTTCAATGCATTTCTGCCTCTCCAGTATTTTCTCTCTTAATGACTTCCATTGTTTCTACCATCATTTCCATCATTTGTATCTTCTTCTGTAGCTGTTCAAATCACTCCACATTAACATATTTTTTTCTGGTTTTCTCTATCTGGAGTTTTCATTTGGTCTGCTTTTTTTAGGAGAAATGTTATTTTGTTTTTTCATGATGACTTAACCAGGTTGCTGCTTTCTTGATATTATGTAAGTCTTTTCTTAGTAGATGTAAGGTTACTGTAACTATATTATGACCCAGGGTGCGACAATGTTTTGTGAAGGACCTGTCTATTAGTGCTCCCCTCTTAGGAACTACAGTACACGTGGAGTGGAATGACTGTTGCCTTCCTGAAACCAAGGCTCCATCTGACCTCTTCTGCTTGAACTTAAGAAATCCTATGTCATGTAGCCAGAGAGCAGTGTTTAAGGCCAAAGTACCTCTGATATTCATTCTCCTGGTGCTAGACAGCACGGGCAGCATCTAGGCAGTATTTAGGAAGAAGGCCAGGAAAGCTTCCAGGTGGTGGAGATAGGGATCTAGTGTTCTGGGTGGGATAAATAGGAGTCCCTCAACCTGGCTTTACCCAAGCTTGTGTGGATTCCAGAGACACAACACAGATTTTACTTGCTGATCACGACAAATTCAAGGGGAAATATCCAGTAAGCAATTGACATGTGCATGTGAAGCTTGAAGGGGAAAAAATCTAGATGATAAATTCAGTTGTGTCATCAAAAATTTGAAGGAAAGAACTAAGATGGATGATTAAAATTTATAGATAATAGGTATTATGCATATGTTGTTGCTGTATACCAGAGCTGGAACTGACCCATAGTTGACCCTCTGGCAGATTTTCAGAGGCAGTTAATCGCACAGGAGGAGATTGTCTATTCTTTTGTGGAGTAGCTGTTGGCCTCAAACTGCATGCTTCTTGCCAGCAGACCACCAGAGCTCCCGTTAATGTGTATAAGTCTTATTCATTCATGGATTCATTCAAAGCATATTTATTAATTATTTGCTATTTGGATTTGTGGTTGGAATTAAAATTAAGATTTCATATATAATAAAATGGGACAGTAAAGTGATTCCTAAAACCAAAAGCTTTCAATAAAAATGTTTTGGATATATTTTTCAATAGGGAATCAGTTTTGGGCCATCAAACTCCTAGATGTGCAAGCAGGTTATCCAAGAAGCATCTACACATTGGGCCTTCCACCAAACATGAAGAAAATTGATGCAGCTTTTTCTGATGACTATAACAGGAAAACCTACTTTTTCAGAAGAAAAAAATACTGGAGGTAATATGAAATAGGAATGACTTTATAGCAAGACTGATTAAGGTGTTTATTTTCTTCTTCTAAGAAAAATCCCTAAATCCTACCCTCTCTAATTTCCTCTAACTTCAAATTTTCTGTTAACTACTGACAGTTTTTCAGTGTCCTAGATAAAACAAAGATTTCTCATAATAGCTGATATTTCCAAGGACCAAAATACATCAGAAGACACCAACTCAGGTCCAGACTTCTGATCATAGTTATGTTTGTCTTATCTTTCTTCTAGTCGCCATATGTCTGCCATTGTTGTTGTTATTGTGCCACGTCAAGTTAAAATCAATCCCTAATAGATCTTCTTGTGAGTTTTGAAAGGCAATAAATTGTACAGGAAGTGGTTGTCTGTATTTCTATCATAGAGGAGCTGGTGGATTCACATTGACCTGAGAATTCCTTATTATTCAGTAAGTGACAAAGGAACCCTAAGTATGACATGTTTTAGATAAAAAGTCTATAGAAGTGCAGTACAGTAGAGAATCAAGAGTTTATTTTTTGACAATAAGTTAATTTACTTTGTTTCCTGTGTGTGATCCCATATGTAAACCCAAACTTCCAAAACTAAAACCATTTGCCATGAGTTGATTCCAACTCACAACTACTCATCAAGTTTCTGAAACTTCCCATCTTTCTCCTGTAGAAGTCCAGTAGATTTGATATCTTGGTTACCAGTGCAACACATAACACACAGTCCTCATATATTTTTCACTAAAAGGACCAAACTGGAAAGGAGCCACAAATATATTTTACACATTCTGGCTTAGAAAATTAAATTCAAACACATGTCTGAACCCTCTAGAATAGCAAGTTATTTTTTTCTTAGAGATATTACAGGTTTAAATGCTGCATTTAATAAGCCATGGAAAGTCACATTTATTGTAGTACTTTATACCACTTGAAAAGTTTATTGCGGATCTCACATTGGGACATTAATGTTATTTTAAACTGGCAAATAACAGGGGATTAAAAAAAACACTAAACTGTATTTCTTTTGATGCAGATTTGATGAGGATAGCCAGTCCATGGATCCAGGTTTCCCCAGGCTAATAACTAATGACTTTCCAGGAGTTGAGCAAAAGATTGATGCTGTATTTAAAATGTCTGGTAAGAGGATATTGGTTTATTTGTGATTGTGAACATTTTATGGTATGAAGATGAAGTGGAAAATCAAAACCATTTACAAACCATTCACTTTTGTATCCTTTCACTCCACACTCTATAGGCTTACAGTTTATTTTCCCCATAATTTCCACAAATCCCTGATTCATATCAGCATGTAAAAGCAAAGAATGATCCCTTACACTACAGCCATTTTCTTAAATGTATTTATTTTATTGTTATTGCATCAGCATCGACTCATAGGTGACCCTCAATTAGACTTCCAAGGCTGTAAATCAAGTGGGAACAGATTGTTTCTTTGCCCAAGGAGTTCCTGGTAAATTTGAACTTCAGAGAATCACAATCTTTGGGTTATACCAGAGCTCTCTTAGTGATTACTGTAACTTTACATTCAGAACCAGCGTGTAGTTGACCCTCTAGTGAGTTTCAGAGGATGCAAAATCACATGGGAAGAGACTGTGCATCTTTCTCCCTTACAGCAGTTGGTGGATTCAAACTGCTTTCCTTCAGGTTGGTGGCACCACTCCTTATCATAGAGGTCACCAGAGAACCCCCTTCATGTATATTGTTGTTAGGTGCCTTCTAGTCTACTCATAGTGACCCTATAAACAATAGATTTAAACCCTGTCCTATCCTGTGGCATCCTCATCATCTCTTCTTTACATGAGCTCTTTGTACCATCACAGAGCTAATACATTTCAGTGATGGTCTTCTCTTTCACTGATTCTCCATGTTTCTAAGCATGAGGTCTTTCTCTAAGGACTTTCCCCTCCTAAAAACATGCCCAATATATGTTAGAAGAAGTTTTACTAGTCTTACTCCTAAGGGCATCTTGGTTGTACCTTCTCCGAAACATATCTCTTTGTACTTTTGACACTCCTTGGGATATTAGTACTCTTTTCCAATGCAACAATTCAATGTCATTTTTATGCATTGTTCAAATTCCAGATACATAGCAAATAATAAAATGTGTTAGGTGCACCGTAGTATTTAACCTGATAGAGTTGCTCTTCAGCAACTTGGAGGTACTTATTTATATGTTATTGTTGTTTTATATCGTGGTTGTTGTTATTATGTTCTGTATCACATTACCCACTACTCCTGGTGACCCTATTTACAATAGCTCTGAATCCCGCCCTATGCTGAGCCAGTATCATTTGACTAGGACACATCTAATCCCATTGTCCCAATTACTTTGTCAATCCATCTCTTTTGGATTCTTCTCTCCTGAGCTGTCCCTCCATCATACTGAGCATGATGTCCTTCTCGAAGGACTGGTCCCTCCTAGCCATCTATCCAAAGAATGTAAGGCAGAGCTTCAATATTCTACCTTCAAGGAGAAACTTGATTTTACCCTCTCCAAGACAGCTCTTTTTCTTCTCATGGTAGCCCAGAATATGTTCAATACCCTTATCCAGTACCACAACCCAAAACCATCAATTCTTCTTCTGTCATGATTAATAATTGTCTAGTTCTCTGACGCATAACAAATAATTGGAAAAACCATGGCCTAGATCAGGTGCAACTTTGTCTCTAGGCTGACATCATTGTTCATTAACCCTTCACAGAGTCCCTCACAGTAGACTTACCCAATGTGTAGGTAAATGTACTTATATGTAAGTTGTTGTTGCTGTTATTGTTATGTCCCATTGAGTCAAGTACGATATTGTGACTATATGAAGAAAAGATCTGAACCCTTTTCTTTCCTGTGCCACCCTCACACTTCCTGATGCACTAAGCCCATTGTGGCAGTCACCATGTCAATCCACCTCTCAAGGGTCTTCCTCTCCTTTGGTGACACTCCACTTTTCCCAATTCATTTCCCTCTCCATGAAATAGCCATTCCTAGCAACATGCCCAATGTATGTGAGGTGAAGCCTCATTTTTCTTGCCTCCAAAGAGCACTCCACCTGCACCCTCTCCAAGACGTATCTGTTTCTTCTCTTGACCATTCATGGGATGTTCAGTGCTCTCTGCAACACCACAGCTCAAAGGCATCAATTCTATTTATGTCATCCTTATTCATTGTCCAGCTTTCAGATGCATACCAAATGATAGGAAAGACTATTGTCTGAATGAGATGTACCTTAGTCCTCAAACTTACATTACTCCTCAATAATTTGCAGAGGTCCCTAACTGCAGATTTTCCCATTGCAATGCAATCTCTTTATTTCCTCACTGCTGGTATCAAGAGTGTTAATTGTGGTTCCAAGGAAGATGAAGCTATTAACAGTTCAATCTCTTCTCCATCCATCATTACATTTCCTTTCATTCCTGTAGTAAGAATCTTTTTTTTCCTCTTGACATTGAGGTCCAATTCATACCAAAGGCTACATTTCTTGACTTTCTGCAACAAAGACTTCAAGTCCTTCTCACTTTAAGTTAGCAAGGTTGTTTCATCTGCAAATACAGATTACTAATAAGTCTCCCTCCAATCCTGATGCTACACTTCCCTTCACAGAGTCCAGCTTCTAGAATAATTTGCTCAGCATTCAGATTAAACTGTTATAGAGACTACAACTCTGACACTCTTCTTAAATTTAAATCATGCAGTGTTCCTTTTGTCTGTTCTCTTTGTCCAACAGCCTCCTAGTCCAAATATAGATTCCTCATGAACACAATAAAATGCTCTGGTACTCCCATTCTTCTCAATGTCAGCCATATAATACATATATTAAAAAAAAAGTATGGTCAAATGTGAGTCTAGTTTAATAAGAACTGTTGGTCTTTTATTCAGTTCAATCTTCTTACCCTTCCTCTGATATCTTATCCCAAATGAGTGGCTTGGCCTTCTGTTACCACTGTGATGTACAGTGGTCAATTGCAAGTAATTGTTGTTGTTGTGTGCCAGTGAGCCAGAACTTATCCAAAGCTTACTGTCAAGGGGGTTTTCAGAGGCATTAATCACACCAGAGGGGATTACCCCCCTTGCTCCTGTGCATAAAGTAGAAGTTTCACACCACATACTTTTGAATTGGCAATGCAACTCCTTATACCAAAGCCACTAGAGTTCCCTTGTTAAAAAAAAATGGTAATCCTTGTACATAGTCAATACTGACCAAATATGATTGTGTTTTATTTTTAACTTTTATTATTATCTTATAATTTTTATTTGTGATTTTAACAAAAGTTTATGGAAAACTTGGATTTCAATTCATTCATTGCTGCACATTTTCCTTCCAAACCCCCCTAGTTCACTTTTCCCTTTAAAAAATTCATTCATTGTTGCACAATTTCCTCCCTCCTACCCACCCCAGACCACTTTGCTATGTGCCTTTTATTCTGGACTGTTGTCATGCAAATAATGCCTAAGCATATATTCCTTTTAAACAATTCTTTTCCTCATCTGTTCTAACGCAGTGTTCATTATTTAACCTCTCTTTTCTTAATTTCCCCCAAATCTCAAATTATTTTATAACAGTTGAATCATGCAGTATTTGTCCTTTTATGACTGAGATATTTCACTCAGCATGTCCTCCAGAGTCATCCACTTTTTATAATATTTTATTAGTTCATTGCCTTTCAGTGCTGCATAGTATTCCACAGTTTCTCTGTCCATTCATTTGTTGATGGGCACTTGAGTTACTTCCATCTCTTTGCTATTGTGAGCAAGACAGCAATAAACATGAGTGTGCACATATCCATTCGGGGTGGAAGTTCTGGATTCTTTAGGGCATATTCTCAGTAGTGCAATTGTTGGGTCAAATGATATTTCTATTTCAAACTTTTGGAGAAAGTGTCATACTGTTTTCCATAGTGGTTATACCATTTTACAGTCACACAAACAGTGAATAAGGGTTCTAATTTCTTCATAAACACACCAGCATTTGTTGTTTGCTGCTTTGTTGAACTTTACTCACTCTGAGGTAAGATTATATCTCATAGTTGCTTTGATTTGCATCCCTCTTAGAGCTAGGTATCTTTCACATTTCTCCATGTGTTTTTTTGTCATCTGAATGTCTTCTTTGGTGTAGTATCTGTTCATATCCTGTCCCCATTTTGCAATTTAATTATCTACCTTTATCATGTTGAGGTGCTAAAATATTCTATACGTTCTAGAAATAAGTCCCTCATCAGACATGTCAGTACCAAATATTTTTCCCCAATCTGTTGCTTTCTCTTTTACCCTGTTGTAGATTTTTTTTTTCTTTGAATAGATATTTGATTCTTTCAAGGTCCCATTCATTTATATTATTCTCTCCTGGTTGTAGGATTTTCAGGATACTTAGAAGATATGTGTGGATTAAGGCTTCTAGAATTCTTCCAAGCTTTTCTTGATGAAGTTTATAGTCCTTGATTTACTCCTAGTTCCTTGATCCACTTTGAATTGATTTTTTTGTGATTGGTGTGAGGTGTGGATCTTGCTTGAATTTTCTGCAGATAGTTTTGCAATTTTTTGAACACCATTTGTTTAAAAGGCTTTAGTTTCCCCACTTAACTGATTTCATCTGCTTCTCAAAAATGAGTTGACTATAAGTAGATGAACTGAATTCTGGTTTCTCAATTCTATTTCACTGATCTAAGTGTCTGTCAGTGTACCAGTACCGTGAGATGCCTCCTACCTTGTTTCTCTTTTTCAGGAATGCTTTGCTTATTCAGGGTCTATTTCCATTCCAGATGAAATTAAAAATTGTTCTTTTCCATATCACTGAAAACAGAATTGGTATTTGTATTGAGATTGCATTGAACATGTAGATTGCCTTTGGTAGAATGTTTATTTTCACAATATTGACTCTTCCTATCCATGAGCATGATATATTCTTCCATTTCTTTATGTTTCTTGTAGCAATGTTCTACAATTTTCTTCAAATAGATCTTTTGTGTTTCTAGTTAGATTTACTCCAAAGTATTTAATCTATGGTTAACCTTTGTGATGGGTATTATTTTTCTTAGCTCCAGTTCTGTATTCTTTTTGTCACTGTAGAAAAATACAATTGATTTTTGTATGTTGATTCTGTATCCTGCTACTTTGCTGAATTGGTTGA